GAGGAGTGGCTGGTGGGTTTGAACCGCCAGCCTTCTGGTTAGCAGTCAAGTGCCTTAGGCACTATGCTACCAGAGCTCCTGTTAAGAGGGATAGGGGAGTAGAAATGAAAAGGCAGCACGAAAAACTAAACACGGAGTTAAGCTGTAAATTATCTAGGATGATCTTCATAATGGAAAGCAATTTCTAAAAACAAATCAGTGTATATATGGGACTAGAAACTGGTGAAGATGTCTGTGCTGGTGCTTGGGAGGAGACTTTCTGGGGATAAAAAGAATTACACCCAGTTCTTATTCTCTTCTAGAGTTTGAGCCACACGTAGTAGCCCCTCCACTGCCATTTCAAGACCAATGCTGGGCTGGATGAGCCTAGGGAAACCTGGTTTGGGCCTGCTTCCACACTTGTTTCCATGTTTATATGATATTTTAATTATTTTTCATTTTGTACAGAATAGAATTCTGTACCAAAGTTCCAGGGGATCGATATTCATTAATATATAATGTGAACTGCAATTATTATAGAAAAATTAGGTTTTACTTTGAGTTTGATTCAATTGCTACTCTATCCCAAACTAAAATAACGTTAAGCAAACGGAACAACACCAAAACAGTTAAAAGAACTCATTTCTTAAGACTTTTATTCATACTGGTTAGACCTGCTTTACTTTGTTACTTCTTAGAGTAGCTATCTTGGACAGATTTAACAAATGTCTCTCCTTGAAGTTTACAATCTCAAAAATACCTTAAAAACAGACCTGAAAAGAATGCGGAATAGCTGCCTCAGATACATGTAATCAGGGGCTTCTTCAAAGCGCAGCCCACGACAGCAGTTTAAGTACATGGCAAATTCTGCAGGAAATCCCTGTATAGATTCAAGAGGTAAAACAATTAAAACAAACAAAAAAACCCAACTTATTTTAAGATAAGAAAATAAATGTATTTAAATACAAGCCAAAGATATACCTAAGTAGGATGTTTTACTTCTTTGTAGGCAAATATGAGAATTAAACTGTAATATGGCTTGGTTTACGCAAATCTTTGAAGAAAATGGTATCTCTCTATACTGGTGGAAGAAATACACGTGCTTTTTCTACGCACTATGTTCTTAGATATCCCACTTGTTAATTTATTATTTGATCAATGCCTTACTGTTCAATAGCAACAATGAACAAGCCAAAACAGAGGACCCTTGAATCAGTTATTTCTTATTTATAAAAGTAGCAAATATTTACTTACACAGAAAAGTAGAATCACAAAGAGTTCAATAATATACAGCAACCACTACTGATACTTTTCTGTTATTTCGAATCTCTTAATAAGCTGCCGAGTAGGTGCATAAAACTCTACCTAGTAAAAATGCATTCCCTACAACTGAACATTTAGGTGGGTTCTAATTTTTCCTTTATTATAAACATGTAAATACTTTTAAGGTTCTAGATAAATTAGTCACCAAAAGGACCTGATGGTCAGCAATGTAGGAATAAAAAATATTAACAGAAAGCATAAACCCCTACATCTCTTCCTCCCCTCAAATAAACGTCAATGTGGACAGAAGAATGGAGGCAAGTTAAAAGGAGGACTTCTCTTCTCCTAACTATCTGACCCACTGATTCACTACAGATGTCCATATAATTTTGAGAAATTTCTCACATCCACAATAGTCAAGGCAGGACAAAATGAATATACTTGCAATATTTACTTTTATTAAAAAATTAAAGGTGAAATAATATATTCATTTTTTTGCCACTTTATGAAAAAACAGACAAAACCTTAACAAAAGAAAGCTACTTATACTTACAGATATGCATAAGCATCACTGAACCATGAGACTTGTGAAAATGATCTCACTACAGAAATACCTCATATTTCTGTGTTCACTCTATAATGAATCACATATATTGGCTAACCTCAAAAGATATATAGTTACCAATTTTTAGGTCAAAATTATGAAGTCATAAGCAGAGAAAAATACTAAATCTCTTCTTCCTGAAAAAATGACTTTTACATCAAGTCAGATGAATCTTTCTCTTGAATGTACTATACAGAAATTATGATGTTTTACTTCCCAAAGTATATAGATTTTAAAAATTTGGGGGGACTATGACATATGACTATTTATTTCAAACAAACCCCAAAGAGTCTAAGATCATACATAGTCACTCATCCCCTATCTTCTCCATTGGTGTAATAGATTATTGTTGTTGTTGTTATGCGCCGTTGAATCGGCCCCAACTCATAGCGGCCCCTCCTTGGGTTTCCGAGGCAGTATCACTACGGAAGTAGGATTGCCCAACCTTCCTTCAGAGGAGTGGCTGCTGGGTTTGAACCGCCAGCCGTCTGGTTAGCAGGCCAAGTGTCTTAGCCACTATGCTACCAGAGCTCCCAATAGATAGATGGAAAAGAGAAAAGCAGATTTCTGGATGGGGAGATATTTATAGTCATCTCCATTTTCCCCTTCCGCAAGTAGTGTTTCAAAACTCATGCTGATTTTTCCCTTTGATCACTCAATCACTTAATCATATACTTTTTTCTAATTATTTCAGGTGTGCAATTCTTGTCTTACAGAAAACTTGAAAAAAGAGACCATGGTTACCCCCTTGGTTGCATAAACTTCACCAGTTTAAACTGACTTGTCTTCTTATGAAGTCTTCATTTTCATTTTTACTGTATTCTGTAGTTGGACAAGAGCTATTTTGGATCGATTCAGGACTCTGAACCACTTTTTCCCAGTTAAATTATGGCCAATGATGCAAAACTGGAATGAACCCAAATGGGAAAAATAGCTGGTTGACGCTTGGCTTGAGTGTTGCATAGAAACCAAATCTCTTGACTGGCAGAGTTGCAAACGGTGGTACTTGGCTCAAAGACAGCAGCCTGTGTCACTCTGAATGTGTGTCACTCTCCAGATTCCTGGCAATGATCCAATTTCCAGCATTAAGCTCCTGAAAAGGCTTACTACGCCTCTTTGCCTCTTCCGTGTCTTCCATTCCAGGGCTTCTACCGGTAATTTTTCCCATTTTGGTTACGGTTCCAGTACACCCAGTTTACAGATCTGGATGTATTCCAATTTCACTGAGTCAGTCATGACTAAACCAGTTCAAACTGGTCTGAAGTCCTAGACTGATCTGATCTGCCTGCTTCTTTCACTACCCTTTAATATGTTGTTGTCAAGTTGGACCTGACCCATACTGACTACTCCTTGGGTTTCAGAGGTGGTATCACTACAGAAGTAGATTGCCCACCCTTCCTTCTGAGGATTGGCTGGTGGGTTTGAACCACCAGCCTTCTGGTTAGCATTCAAGTGCCTTAGGTACTATGTACACTACCAGAGCTCCTACCCTTTAATATACCAAGTGCCAATTTATATATTTTCTTTTTGACTTCAATTTAGGGATAAGAAGGGTATTTCTTAATTTAATCTCTCTCATAGATTTATGGAATTCTATTAGGACAATATGCCCACTCTGTTAATATCCTCTCATTTTTAACAGATTAGAGAACCCAAATAAATAAGCACAAACAAGTATTTTAAATGATGCATTTGTTAAAGCCATTGTTAAGGTAAAGATATTCTGAGTCATTAAAAAGTAAATTTTAATAGGAAATAACTATCTAATAGAATGTCTAAGAAGTAAGTGTTTACTTTTGTTCTTGGGTCATTTAAAAAAAAATAAACACTCATCAAGCATACTTACTTTACATAAAACTTCAACGGGAGTGGACATCTTCTTTTCACTAATCTTTTCATATTTTTGTTTCTTTGTTGCAGCCTGTGGAAAACAAGAATTAAATCACAAAGACATACTCAATACTACTCAGAAGAACTTTAGTAATTTAACACTAAATAGACAAATAACCACATATTTGAGATCTAAGAGAAATCTTAAGCCAGAATAATTTAAAAAAAAAGAAAAAAAAATCAAAGTATAATAAACCTAATTTTTTTCCCCTCTTAAATCTTGGTTGACTTTTGGGGTCAGTTTCTACTTCAAGAACATTTTGAGCAATTAGGAAAGGGTGAGTCTATCAGAACACTAAGATGTATGACTTAAGTAAAAATAGGTGGGGTCAAATTTGGCAAGAATTCTGTTAAGCTATGGCGAACACCAGGGCAAAGACAGAAGCAGATCAATACAAAAAACCCTAATGTGTCCATTAGCAAATGCCATTAATTACTGAAGTTGACTGTGTAAGTAAAAATACTTTTTCCAATGTAAAAATATTTATATTGGATGAAGCTACGAAGAACTGAGCAATTTCTCTAGTTCAAAGCTGATCAATAAATACAGGTACCTTCTTCCTTTAAAGTACCAATAACAAAAAAAAAAAAACAAACTCACTGCCATTGAGTCAATTTGACTCACAGCAACCCCTCCTTGGGTTTCCGAGGTGGTATCTCTACAAAAGTAGATTGCTCAATCTTCCTTCCGAGGAGTGGCTGGTGGGTTTGAACTTCCAGCCTTCTGGTTAGCAGTCAAATGCCTTGGGCACCATGCCACCAGAGCTCCTAAAGTACCAATAAGGTATCAAAATTGCTGGTAAATTTGAAAAGAGGGATTTATCATTAACACAAACACTCACAAAGGTAATGATAAAACTCCTAATTAATCAAAACAAATAAAATATTACAAATGCACAAATAACTAGCACTCCTGGACAAGCAAGTTTTGTTGTTCATAAAAGTATACACTTTGAACATAGTGGCAACATACTCAACTGGAAAAGCTTCCACATTTATAAGCCACATCAACTTTCATCCAGACAAGGCTAGTGGTTACCAGTGTGTACCAGCTGTCTCAAAGGAAACTGTTCCTCAGCTGTGACTAAGGAATCAGGAATTAAAGTTATTAAACTCAGAAAATCTCTAATTTGGAAGGGACCTTAAAGGTCATATCTTGCCCAACATGTATTTTTATTTCTTAAAATCAAAGCATAACAACAACAAACTTGTATGTGAGTCTATCATTTACCTTCAGTCCTTGCCATGGCAGGCTGGTTCTATTAAAATACATCAAAACGTATCCTAATGATTCCATGTCATCTCGGCGACTAGAAAAGAGAATTATATGAGTTTAAACTATTAATGGGAAGCATATGAAAGAAAGGTATGCAACAAGATATTTGTGTATGAATGCACAAAAAGAGAATACTATTCAGCTTCAAAGTGCCTTACGCAAGAAGGTACTTAGGTGTTGTTGCCTTTTGTAATAAGAAAAAGTTCGTAATGGGCTACTTCTAAACAAACTTTTCTCATAAAATCAAAAGTTAAAAAATAAACACAGCCCCTACAGTTTAATTTTTAAAGCAGAGCAAAAAAGGTTTCTGTTAAACAACTCTCTTAATGAGGTTAATGAAAAGTTGACGCACCAAGTGCAGGACATAGATTCTGTGTTTCACAGACACTCAAAAATAATTTAAGGGATGCTGGCATAAACACACATTTTAAAGCTAATTAAACAACTACAAGAATGTGTGTGTGTACATATATGTATATAGACTTATATATACATACAAATAGATGTATATGTTTAAAGCCTGGTAATACTTTGTCCTACAGAAAAAGTCAAATTATAGTTTAATCCAGGGTATTCAAGTATTTATAAGCATTTGCTAAGCTTGAAGTTTTTCTCATTTATTTCTCTAACCTGGGAGCATATCAGTTGTCACATGTGTTTTCAGAAGCAAAAAATGATTGAAAAAAGATGAAAGGAACATGAAGGACTAGGAAGAAAGCAGGGATGATGATAATTATAATTTATACTTTAGAGTAGATCCAAATTGTGTATTTACATAACTTGACTTTGGTTCACTAGGATTCAGATGGCATTTTCCTTAAAAATAAAAAACAACAACAACAAAAACACTAACACATTCTTTCCCAAAATTCAACTTCCATCACTCAAAAATATAAAAGGGCCAAGAGAACATTAAGAGAAGATAGTCTTCAGCTGCAAAAATCAAATATCAAGATAAAATTACATTTATGCTTCTAACTTTCCATCATGTAGTATTTCTTCCCAAGAGACAACCTTTAACAAAGAAAACAAAAGAACTCATTTAACTGGCTTCCCTGAACTACCTAAAGCAGCAGGTAAAAGGATTAATAAGCATCCTTCAAATCCTCAGCCAAGAAACATCCTTAGATATCGTAAGAAACTAATTCAAACATCCAATTTCCAAACTCACCTCTGCTCAATACCAAGATGTGCATTGATGCTAGCGTACCGGGCAGTGCCAGTGAGATTTTTATCTTCTCTGTATGGTATGTGTTGCTTTCTTCTGTTGTCTCTGTACTTTTTGGCCAAACCAAAATCAATAAGGAATAACTTTAAGAAAGAAATAAAGATACATTAGGTTTCTAACTTTGGTCAATTAACTGCTTCTTATTGATTAATGGCAACTATATTTACTTATTCAAGCATATCAAAATAAAGATCAGAACTGTAATATAATAATGAACAGACTTAACACTCCAATAAGGTTTTACTAGTTCATTAATAAATCAACTTCCTTTATTTAAAAACAAAACAAAACAAAACAAAAGCCAACCCAACCCACCACTATTGAGTTGATTCTGACTCACAGCAATCCTACAGGACAGAGTAGAACTGCCCCAAAGGATTTCTAAGGTGGTAAAACTTTACAAAAGCAGACCCCCTCATCTTTCTCCTACAGAGCAGTCAATGGGGTTTGAACTGTCGACCTTTTGGTTAGCAGCTGAATGCTTTAACCACTGTGTCACCAGAGCACCTTGTCTTTATGAAAGTTACGGGATAAATGTATACACATGTGATAGCAGTTTAACAAGTGTGCTGTTTGCCCATACTGAAACCTGACATCCTACTACTATTGGTACTAAGCATGCGGATTCAAAAACCAGACATAAGTTATAAAAACTCCTCCCTCCTACAAAGGCCACTCAGAATGCTCATTATCTAAGACAATCCTGTTAGTTTGATATTGCCAATGAAATCAATATTTTTATGTACAATAAATAAGCACTTCTTAAAGAAGCATGCATCACACTTAGGTTAAACTTCCAGAAAATGACAAGTTGATCTAAAAAAAGCTCTTAGAATTTAAATCAAGATGGCCTACAATTTAACAGTTTAAATGAGCTAACTAAAAATAAAACTAGTATTTTAAAACAAGTAATGCTGAATACTGTATTATTTATGATACTCAGAGAATAAGACTCTCATTAACATAGTTAATTTTTCTAGGTAGTTCAAGTTTACTCTCTAAGATTAAAATCTTTGGAGGGGGGAAGGGAAGAACAATTATCATGGGGAAAAAATCTTCCCCAAATGTATTCATATGTACCGACCTTCTAAAACAAAATAAAAACTTGGAAATGTTACAGCCTTTCTTATAAAATCACTTATCACACTGCTATAATCTGCAAAGATTATTAATGTGGCAGGCTATGTGCCCATGTAAACAGCCTTAATGTATTGTCCTTTTCTAGTTATGTTTAAATTTTGTGGTTCTTTGCATTAAGACTGACATCTGGTCCTTCCTGCCAGAGTTTACAATCTGTGATGTGCTAAGGAACCTGATCATGTAGTCTATTAAGGTTTGTGTCAAAAAACAAATAATGTGAATTACTGATTTAGGTTAAAAAATTCTAACGAAGTACCTCTCTTAGGAGGAAGAGTAACACCTATTCTAGCCAGGAACTGTAACCTAGTCTCACTTATATCTTGGATGGTAAAGACAGTGAGGTTTGGCATTCTTTCCCCACCTGTCAACAATGCGATACTTATTTTCACTTGGTCTACTATAAAAGAATGAAGGTTAAATTCCTAGTAAAATGAATTAAATAATGAAAGCTCTCTAAGTAATAAGATTAATCTAATTTCCTAAGCAATCAATTATGTAATAAAAGGAATATGGGAAAGTTAGTGTTAAAACACTAAAAGAAATAAAGCCCACACTGTAAGTTTCTTGATATGCAAACCGCTCAGCATACAAACATTAGAATGAGTTAAATACACTTCTGTTAAATAAACAAAAATTATGACTTAAATTGTACACATTCATATAGAAAAGAAAACATGGGAAAGAGAAACACAAAAGGACAACCAGCTTCATAATATTTTAAAAAATAACCCTAAGAAGTATGTGTATTTAAGGAATATTTTCTGAGATTGCTTCCTTTAGTACTTCAATGTGGTAGAGAAAAAAGGGAACACTGATATGATTATGTCTGATCATTTCATTCATGTCTAAATCTACATTCCAAAGCTCCATTTTGAAACTCAATAATCAAACACTTTCTTACAAACGAAAGACTGCTTTACAAAAACTCTGTGTTCTTTTCTTTCACAACTCGAAAAGAGGAAATCTAATTTATTAACAAAAAATACATACTTTTTCTCCTAAACATCTCAATCTTTATTATCAAAACTAAATTCAAAGTAATCTTAAATTTTCTCCTCCTCCTTGTAAAAACTTAAAGTAAATGAGCAAAGAAATGTCACTATTAAACAAAGATATCCTATTTTTAAGAATAAACAACTGAAAGGAAAACTATTTGAAATAAAAATAAAATCTTTTGGTATCTCATTACCTTCTGGTTCTTATCAAGCTTCTTAGTAGCTCTGTGTGCTTTGAATTTAAAAACTAATATAAACACAAAGAAGTATTTTCATGAAACCATGGGATACCAAAGATGCAAACAGATAGCCACAAATATGTAAAGGCAGAATCAAATGAGTAAAAGTCAGTAATCATTAAGTTTTATGATAATTCATTTTTATAGGCTGGCATATGCAAAGGGAGGGACAAATTTCTTGGTGGTCAAGCTGCTGTGGAATTTTTACTAATTACATGTTGTAAGTAAAATCTGTGCCTGTTGTAAAGAATGCAGCCTCTTCTTCAAAGGCATCTGGAAATGAGCTAATGTTTGATAAACTGGAACAATTCCCACTCAGTAGAGGTAAATTTTCTTCACAATTACTTATTTTTTTAGTACTTGTAGCAATTTTCCTCCTACCCAGTGTCACATTCCCTTGCCCTCCAATACATCACAAGGTCACTTTACCTCATAACACATCTAAGTTGTATATAGAGAATACAAACCATTTAATACAACTTTATGTAAACTATTAAATGATTATGCTACAAAAATATGTAAAACGTGAGAGTGCATTGATAAGTAAACATGAGGTCTGAGAGTTTTAAAAAATTATATTGCCTTCTAAGCACCCAATCCCCTTTTTCCCCCAACCAAAATTAATCACCACAGTAAGTACTCTTTTGCCTATGAATAACTAAACACACAAACAAAAAACAACAATTTCGGAAACCTTTTTAATAGCTGGCGGTACCCCTTGAAATAATGCTAGGCAATATGAGAAAGGAGTACATGATTATCTAGATTTGTAGGTTTCTACAAAGTACGTTCTCATTATCAAACAGAACTCTTCTATTATGCAATTACTCATGCCAATACCTCCTTCTCAGTACATACTAAATTGAATGACAGAAGAATCATTAGTTAAGAAAACTTCAAAATTTATGTAACTAATTTTGTGATTAAAACTCACAGTAAAAAAAGTTATCCAACTTCTACCAAATAAAATACTGAAAATTTAAAGTGCTCTACTTAGGTTTTCTCTTAATATTTAGATATTTATTGGGGTGTTTACTATATCTAGTCTGTCAAAAACGAAATCATCAGGTTATACATGAATTTAATTTATCCTTAAGTATTACTAATGGTAATCCACCATTTAGTTTGATGAGTGCTTTAATTATTATTGTTATATTGTTAAGAATGAGATGTCTTCTTGTTTAAAAGCATACAGGCCTTTTTAAGTAGTCATCTGGTTGATGTTGAGAGAATTCAGACTGAGATGAATCAATTCTAGAAATACTAGATCTAAAATCTGATCTACACTTACCTGAGGTTCAATGGGGAAAGGGAAGAGAGGTGAGGCAGAATATATTCATTGTACAGCACTGATGCAAATGAATTTAGATATATTACATGCATTAGATTCTGCAACACCAAATACATTATTAAAAACTAAATCGTGTATCTAAAGTTTACCATTAGGTAAAGAATTTCAATACTAGACCAATATATCATTTCCTTATGTAGATGTTAGAGATCTAAACATATAATCCTATTTTCATTTAGGTTTTCTCTAAACTTTACAAATTTTAAGCAAAAGCCACAAAGAAACATCTTAGTAATGTTATGTTTGCCAAGTATGTCTGAATAATGCCAACGTAAGAGATGCTTGAGCAAGATCTACATTCTCCAGAATTAAAACAAAATAAAAATAATTAAAATAAAACAACAAAAAAGAAAAGCACATGAATTTGGGATTGAGGTTGGAATAGGAGACAGTTTCAGACCTGGTTTAATCCTGAGAAAGATGGGTCCTGAGAAGTACTAACAGTCATGCTTCTTTTCCTCTTCCCCACTGGAGATTCTAAACACTAAACAGACAATAGAGGGTGGCAGTGCATCAAACAGTATTGCTTACATTGCAACAATGGCCGGCGCAGACAGGCAACACCGAGGCATTAGAGAAAGAACAGGGTAGCCAAATGCCATCCTTCTTCCACCAAGCACTGTAGCTTCTCAGTTTTCCAAATAAGAATCAATACTCAAGAACTTTTGAATCCTGAAGAATACTCAGATTTTTAATGCCACTATATTCTGTCACTGCCTGAAACAGGGATAGCAATGGTGACATTTGGCTCTTTAATTTTTTAATCATAAACGGGGAATTTAGATCTGTAATCTTTGCTGCCCTTCCCCCAAAAAAGATTATACAGGGGGAAAAAAATCTTCAGTAAGGAAGAGGTAGAAGGCATTTAGTCACCTTAAAATTTATTTTCATAAGCATGCAGGGCTGATTACTAGAAGAGATGAGCAAATTCACTAAGATTGAAGTGGCTACTCCTAAACATCAAATTCAGAACAATTTTCCAAATAGAAAAGTTGACTTTAAAAATTGACCTCAAAAGCCCCCCCAAACTAGTTTTTATCCCCCATGAATAGAAAACTACTGAAATAAGCTGACTACAGAATCCAGTCCCATACAACTGGCACTTTAAATCTATAATACAGAAAACCAAATACATAAAAAAAAACCTACTAACCTAAAATGTTCAAAAGCAATACCTGGTATGTGAGCCTTAGTTAGTTAAGTAAAACACTGCCTTTCATCCCAGGGTTTCTCTGAAACTGTACAGCACAAGCAGTTTCCCAATATTCTTTTTGACAGATGTAAAGAGAACACGGGTCCTAAAGTTTTTCATGACCAGGCAATCTGGATTTCCTATTAACAAGCTACCCTTAAAAGGGGGGGGGGGCAGTATTGTTTTGGCCATCTTTAATTTTAAGGCAAAAACCATGTACTGCAGTGTTAACCCCAAATGCCCACACAGAACATGATCACTTAACGATTATGGTTCTTTAGGGGTAAGAATAGTAAGGCGAGGCTGGGAAATGGCAAAGATAGTAGGAACTGACAAAACTGCCCCCAAAATTAAGACCAGTAATTTTTTTTCAATTGGATCACCAGGTTTTGCAGTAACAATTAAGAACCTGGATGCTTCAAAGGAAAAGCTACCTAGTGTTTTTTTTTTTTTTTTTTAAAGAAAGGAAGAAAGAAAGAAAAGAAAAAGATGCAATTTGGGAATGATTAAGTTATATGCAGATTGAAACACTTTTCATTATTTAAAACTCAGCTTTCAACCAAAAAACTTAATTTCCTAAAGCTTATTCAGACCAACATTAATGTCTCACACAGTAACAAATAAAGTTCTAATAGTGACAGCTCCAAGTTGGCATTCATACAGGCAAACAAAGGTAAACATTTGTAACTAGACCTAAAAACACCAAACATTCCCTGATGGGTTAATAAATATGAATCTTCCAAAAACAAAACAAACTCCCACAAAAACAAAAAAGTTCCCGAGTTGTCCTAAAGTTGAGAATTTCTATCAGATTAGATCATAACACGCTTAGTGCATTGCCAATGCTGCCTGTCTGCCCGAGCTCAACAATGAATCAATAAATTAAGCAATTCACTCAATAAAACCAATCAATAAAGAAAACTTTCAACACAGTTTCTAACTACTACCATGCATCACTAGCTAAAACCCAATCACCCCATAAATCCAACCATTCTCAGAGACCCCAATGAATGAATGAATACTAGTTTTGTGGAAGATATGTTCATTTCAATTATCTATATTTTCCTTTCAAAAGGAGGGAGGGAGGGAGACAAAGAAGCCACCCAACTTGGCACCCAAGTAAGAAACTGTCAATTACTTTTGAAGTAGGCCCAAAAGTTATCCCTAGAATACACAAAACAAAGAATTCTCATTATCAACCATGCTCAGTCAGCAAAAATGTTAATGCCATGGTGACAGATGGGTCATTGGTTCCCACACTGGCACAAGCACATATATTACAGAAAAGCCACACTTCAGAGCCAAAGGTTAAAATCTGACTTTCAGCATTCAGGAGAAAAAGTATATGGGGATTTCCACTATTCGAGTGAATGATAAATAGATACAACTATTCAACAATAGTAAAATAACATAGGTGATTACAGTTCATTATAAAGCCTTTGGAATTTTATATTTAGGTATAAAGGTAACTACTGTTGGTTGGGTAAATTGGAATTTATTTCAAGTTACTAAGTTAATAGAGTTAGCTGATTATCTTACTAGCACAATCTTTTAAAGCAATTATCAACAGCAAATTCAATTTACTATGGCTTTCAAAGACTGAAAAGTTTACCAAAGCAATTCTTGGAGACACTATACTCTTTTGTTCTTTCATGCAAAGAGCATTTGACTAACCTTATTACAGTGACGCCCAATACCCATTAGGAAGTTATCTGGTTTAATGTCTCTGTGTATAAAATTCTTTGTATGAACATATTCAATTCTACTGATCATCTGGAAAAGAAAAAAAAAAGAGGGAGAGGGGAGATACCATTAAGTGATTAAAGTGATAAAAGAAAGCAACACATTTTTTTCTTAATGCATACTTGTTTCAATCAACTTCATAAAAAGATCAGATACATTTAATAATATTAGAATACATGAAAAGAACACTAGGAAAAAATAAATGGAGAGAGCAAGCAAGCTCTCCATTTATATCTAGAACGGAAGTCTAAGCATAAATTTGCAGTGTCCTTTGGCTTGTCCTTCCCAGTATTAAAGATACTAATCTGAAAGCAAAAATTGGTATTTGCAATATTCAAACTACAAAAGTAATTTACTCAGAATTGTTTCTGTTGCTATAATCAATTACACAAAGCAAAAGCTGTATCATTACTTTCTGCCCCCAATACTATACTCCAAGGTAAACTTGTGATAAAATATCCTGGTACCACCAGACCTATTTCTAATGCTCTTATGAACAAACACACACATACACATTTGGATACCCTCATATACTAGAGAGGGAGTGTCTGACAGGCTAGACAATACAGGTGTAAGTCATTCTTCTATACTCTCTGCATGTCATTTTATTGGCTTGTCCTTGCCCTCAGAAAGTCTGTGTTACTAAGCCTACAGAACATAATCTATAACTTAATTACTATTCACACACATTAGTTAAAATATAACCTTTAAATGCCTGAGTTCATAATGTACCACAAACAGAACACTGTAATTTGCTAGTATTTGCTTGAGCCACCCAGCAGTTTTTATGGTAAGCTTGAAGAATATCCAGTGCTAATTACAAAAAATGAGCACTACTTTTAACCCTTTCAATGTATAGATTCTAAAAATCCCACCTCAAATATCCGTAGTTTATCATCTCATTTTACTTTCTAACATCCTATCTAAATTTAAGAAACGTCCTTCTCCTCCACAGAATTCTTCTAAGTATACTGAGTGTAATGTGAAGTACGTCCAACAATTTGCTGCCCTTAAAATAATAAATCTTGACTAAAATTTAAAATAATAAATTCTTTGGCATTTACCCATTATCTTTTACTGTGTTATCTTTTCCCTCAAAGCTTGTTTCTAGCTCTATTCTCACAAAAAAAAAGTTTCATTTTTTTTTCTCAAGATCATAAAATTAAAAAATCTGTCTTAAAATAATTTGACCCAACCTCCAGACAATGTATGAATGAATCTTAATCATTACATCTCTAAAATTTCCCTGATTTTACTTAGCAACACTACCAAGCACAAGTATCATCTACTTGGTCAAAAATTGTTTACATTACTTCAGCTCCCTAATCTCCTCAAAAATACGGCTTTCACAAACAAAAGACAGGCATATGACCTGAGCATTTACATTAGATAGATATAATCTCAAAGAGATCAATCATGGGAGAATAGAAGGACTGTGTATGCACAGGGAGACAGCTCGGGGGGCAGGAGTGAATGGGAGGGAAAGACACAAGGAAGGGGTAACTATGGGAAAGAAGTGGGAAGGGAGCTGTTGCATTGTGGGAAATTACAGCCAATTTCATGAGACAAAGTGTATGTGAACTACTGTATGGAAAGTGAATTTGCTCTGTAAACTTTCACCCAAATCACACACACACATACACATACACAAAGCCCACAACTTTCATAAGGGTCCTTTCATATACTGTATACATAATATTCAATTTAAGTATACCAGTATTTCAATACTGTCAGCCCTCTGTTATCTGCAGGTTTGACATCTGCAGATTAAAAATAATCAGGAGGGAAAAAAGCAATTAAGAGATCAAAGCAGTCCCTCAATGGCTCAGATGGAGCTTGAAGTGCATTTATACTGTATTAGGTATTTAAAATAATCTACAGATGATTTAAAGTATATGGGAGGGTATGTTTAAGTTATATGCAAGTATTATGCCATTTTATATAAGGGAATGACATCTGCAGATTTTAGTATTCACAGGAGGCCCATAGCTTGGTAAAGTGGAGGGTCAATGAAAAAGGGGAAGGCCTTCAACACGACAGACAGACAGACAGACAGACAGTGGCTGCAACAAGGGTCAAGGATCAGCAAGGATCCTGAGGCTGGCACAAGACTGGGCAGTGTTTCATTCTGTTGTGCATAAAGGTTGCTATGAGTCAGAGACAACTCGGTGGCACTTAGACCCACATAAAAAAGCACACTGCTGCCAACCTGATTCTAACTCATGTTTTCCCTATAGGACAGAGTAGAACTGCCTCATATGTTTTTTTCTAAGGCTGTTTAAGTTTTTACAGAAACTGACTCTACATTATTCTCTAGCAGTGTAGTTGGTGGGTCTGAACCAGTGACCTTTTGCTTAGCAGTCCAGCACTCAACCACTTACATCATTCTTCTATCAACAGAAGTCATATTACAGTATAGTAAGTCCCCAGGTTATGATAATCGGATTTGTCCTTCAATGTTACGTGAATTTGCTCTAGTTCTGAAATGAATGACTCACAACAAATTCTTCATCACCTTCAGTTGTTGCACATAAAGCTTTTAAATCACTGAAAAGGCTTTGAGTCTTTTCTTGCACTAAAGTAAGTCTAACTAAGAACCATTTGCACCTGTACTGACTTAACGTACAAATTCCACTTCTCACACACACTTATGAACTGATTTAGTTCGTAACCTAGGGACTGCCTGTAGTACACCTGAATGAGTACCTCCTACTACAAACTTTTTTTTTTTGCTTATCTTAAGGTTAAACAGTGGCACAAAGGGTAGTTGTAATACTCTGGCTTGTAAGCACTTACATTACAGTCAAACAGAAGTGAATAGTTTTACAGTTTTAGCCCCAGTTTCTAGTCTCATCAAAATCTCATATACCTTTCACTCAAATCATTATAAAGGTTTTGTTTTGTTTAAAAACAAAACAACAAAAACTTCACATACCTGGTCAGCTAACATAAGTACAGTTTTCATTGTGAACCTTCTTGAACAGAAATTGAAGAGGTCTTCAAGGCTGGGTCCGAGAAGATCCATGACTAGCACATTGTAGTCTTTTTCTTGACCATACCACCTGACAAAACAAAACAGAGAAAGGAAAAGGGGAGGGCATCATGAAAAGGTGATTAGAATTTAGTATCATCAAATTTAAAAAATTCTTAAGCCCTAAGAATACGATAGTTTTCCATCATTGGTTAGGTTTTATTTAAGGTAAAATTTCCTCTATTCATGTGTAATTATGTTTAATTACATTGCCCAACATAAAATATCACCTGTCAGTTTGTCGGACTGTGGTGGTTTAAGTGTTGCTGTGAGGCTGAAGGCTATGCCATCAGTATTTCAAATACCGTCAGGGTCACTCACAGTGGACAGGTTTCAGCTGAGCTTCCAGAATAAGACTCAGAAGAAGGAAGGGGTCATCCACTTCTTCAAGAACTGGCCAGTAAAAACATTATGAATAGCAGTGAAATTCTGTTTAATATTAATTACTGGAAAAAGTTATGAATAGCCTTGAGACACTGCCCACATACAGTGCCAGAAGATGCGCCCCTCAGGTCAGAAGGCACTCAAAATACAACTGGGGAAAAACTGCCTCTTCAAACTAGAGTTGACCTTAATGACATGGATGGGGTAAAGCTTTCGATACCTCCATGTGCTGATGAGTATGATTCAAAATGGGAAGAAACAGCTGCAAACATCTGTTAATAATCGAACATGGAATATACAAAGTATGAATTTAGGTAAACTGGGTTGTCAAAAATGAAATGGAATGCACAGAGATCAATATCCTAAGCATTTGTTGTTGTTATGTGCCATCGAGTTGGACCCGACTCATAGCAACCCCTCCTTGGGTTTCCGAGGCAGTTATCACTATGGAAGTAGATTGTTCTATCTTTCTTCCGAGGAGTGGCTGGTAGGTTTGAACGGCCAGCCTTCTGGTTAGCAGTTAAGTGCTCTAGGCACTATGCTATCAGAGCACCTATCCTAAGCATTAGTGAGCTGAAATAGACTGATTGTGGCCACTCTGAGTCAGACAATATGATATGATCTACTCTATCAGGAATGACAAATTGAAGAGGTATGGTGTGGCATTCATCATCACAAAAAATGTTTCAAGATCTAGCCTGAAGTACAATGCTGTTAGTGATAGAATAACACACAACTATAAGGAAGACCAACTAATACTACTATAACTCAAATTTACCCACCAACCACTAAAGTCAAAGATAATGAAATTGAAGACTTTTTTTTTTTTTACCAACTTCTGCAGTCTGAAATTTACCAAACATGCAATCAAAATATACTGATTATTACTGATGACTGGGATGCAAAAGTTGGAAATAAAGAAGAATCACCAGTAGTTGGAAAATATGGCCTTGGTGATAGAAATATCACCAGAGATCAAATGATAGAATTTCTCAAAGACCAATGGCTTACTCATTGCAAATACCATTTTTTCAACAACATAAGCAGCTGCTATATATGTGGACCTTGCCACTCGGAATACACAGGAATCAGATCGACTACAATGGAGAGAACCTAAACATCTTCCACCAAAATAAGGCCAGGAGCTGACTGTGGAATAGACCTCAATTGCTCATACACAAGTTCAAGTTGAAGCTGAAGACAATTTAAATTAAAACAAATCCACAAGACCTGAGAGCTTGGGACCATAGTCGCAGGGGACATCAAGCTCAATTGGCATAATATACTACACAAAATACTGTTCCACCTCCTACTTTGGCGAGTAGCAACTGGGATCTCAAAAGCTAGCAAGCTGCCATCTAGATGCAACGATGGGTCTCTTCTCGTTCAGAGCAAAGAAGAATGAAGAAAAACAAAATTCATGGAAACAATTAGTCCTAGCAACTGGTACACCATCCAATCTGCAGCCTATATGACTATGAGACCAGAAGAACTAGATGGTGCCCGGCTACCATTGTCATCCACTTGGAAGGAGATCTATGTAGGAGATCCTTGATAGAGAGGGAGAACAATGTGGAACAAAACTCAAAATCACTTGGAGAAAAAAAAGGGGGGGGAGCGGAGAGGACCAGGTTTGCTGGTCCGATAGAGCCCGGTGGAGCCACTGAGACTATGGCCCCTAACTGCCTTCAGGTCTGGAATTGAACCTATACCTGTGGTTTCCAGCCAAACAGAAGACAGGCATACGAGTTGAACATTTACCTGAGGTAGATACACTCCTTGGGGAGAACAATCATTGAGAAAGAAGGGCTGCCTATGCACAGGGAGACAGCTCAGGGGGCAGGAGTCCATGGAGGGATGGACACTGGGAAGAGGTAACTATGGGGAGGAAGTGGGAGGGGAGCTGTTGCATTGTGGTAAATTGTAGTCAATGTCATGAGACAAAATATTTGTGAACTGCTGTATGGAAAGTGAATTTGCTCTGTAAATTTTCACCCAAATCACAATTAAAAAAAGAAAGAATAATATTCGAATTAAGTGTTTCCTTTTTTACTTAATTCAAAGAAAAAGAAAGAAAGAAAGAAAGAAAGCAGGAGAGTCATTAAAAAGACAGGAAAGGAAGAAAAGACCAAAATAGATGTCAGAAGAGACTCTGAAATTTGCTCTTTAATGGAGAACCTAAAGCAAATGGAAGGAATGTTAAAGTAAAAGAGGTGAACAGAAGATTTCAAAGAGCAGCTCAAGAAGACACAGTCAATTATTATAACGAAATATGTGAAGACCTGGAGGGAAGAACATGCTTGGCATTTCTCAAGCTGAAAGAACTGAAGAAAAAATTCAAGCCTCAAGTAGCAAAACAAGGATTCTACGGGCAAAATATTTAATGATGCAGGAAGCATCAAAAGAATATGGAAGGAATACAGAGTCATTGTACAAAAAAGAACTGGCTGATGCTCATCTGTTTCAGGAGGTGGCACCAATGGTACTGAAGAAGTTGAAGCTGCACTGAAAGAACTGACATAAAACAAGGCTTGAGGAATTGATGGAATACCCACTGAGACGTTTCAACAAACAGATGTCACACTGGAGACACTTACTCATCTATGCCAGAAAATTTGGAAGACAGCTAGCTACCTGGCCAACTGACTGGAAGAGATCCATTTATGTACCCATTCCAAAGAAAGGCGACCCAAAAGAATGTAGAAATTATCAAACAGTATCATTAATATCACATGTAAGTAAAATCTTGCTGAAGATAATTCAAAAACAGTTGCTGCAATACACTAACAGGGAACTCCCAGAAACATAAGCTGGATTCAGAAGAGGACATGGAATGAGGGATATTATTGCTGATGTCAGATTGATCTTGGCTGAAAGAAAAGAACCAGAAAGATGTTTGTGTTTTACTGACTATGCAAAAGCATTCCACTGTGTGGATCATAACAAATTATGGACAACACTGAAAAGAATGGGAATTCCAGAACACTTAATTGTGCTCATGAGGAACCTCTACACAGAGCAGGAAGCTGTCATTCGAACACAGCATGGGGATAGTGGATAGTTTAAAATCAGGGAAGGTGTGTGTCAGGGTTGTATCCTTTCAGTGTACTTATTCAATCTGTATGCTGAGCAAACAATCCGAGAAGCTGGACTATACAAAGAAGGATGTGGCATCAGGATAGAAAGAATATTCATTAACAACCTGCCTACAATATACAGACGACACAACCTTGCTTGCTGAAAAAGATGACTTGAAGCACTTACTGATAAAGATTAAAGACTACAGTCTGCAGTACAGACTATATCTCAACATATTAAAAAAAAAAAAAAAATCCTCACAAATGAACCAATAAGTAGCATCACAATAAATGGAGAAAAGATTTAAGTTGTCAAAAATTTCATATTACTTGGTTCCACATCAGCACTCATAGAACCAGGAGTCAAGAAATCAGGTATCGTACTGCACTGGGCAAATCTGTTGCAAAAGACCTGTTTAAGTGCTGAAGAACATAGGTCTCTGAAGACTAAGGTGCGCCTAACTCAAGGCACGGTATTTTCAATCACCTCATATGCCTGTGAAAGCTGGACAATGAATAAGAAAGACCAAAGAAGAGTTAATGCTTTTGAGTTGCGGTGTTGGCGAATACTGAAAGTATTGTGGATTGCCAGAAGAATGAACAAATCTGTCCTAGAAGAAGTGAGAGCGGAATGCTCGTCTCATTTACTTTGGTCATATTGTCAGAAGGGACCCACCATTCCCTGGAGAAAGTGGAGGGTCAGTGAAAAAGGGGAAGACCCTTAACAAGACAGACTGACACGTGGCTGAAATGATGGGCTCAGGTATAGCAAGGACTGTGAGGATGGCACATAACCGGGCAGGGTTTCATTCTACTGTACATATGGTCACTATGAGCTGGAGCCAACTCAACAGCACCTAACGACAAAAAATATAAAATTAGGGTAATAAGACTTTTTTCTCTGCCAATTACCTCATTCTCCTATAAAGATAGGATGCGCATGACAGCCTTAATATAAATAGCTGAACTCTAGACTCATATGCTACTGATTCTACATGAGACCTTGGGCAAATTCTTTTATTCTCAACTGGCCTTACTTCCTAAATATAAGAAATAAGGGGGACTACATATATCAGTGATTCCAAACATTTCACAAAGCAAAGATTCTTTGGTATTAAGTCTCAGTCCTCCACCAAACTATATTCACTTACTAATTAACAGAATGTTCTCCATATATTCTCAACAACAAAAAGAAGTAAAATTATTTAAAGAAATAATGTGCTTTTGAAAAAATGATTCACATTTTTGCTATAAAGCACTGATAGAAGAAATTAAAGACTTAAATCAATGGAAAGATGTTCTATGTTCATGGACTAGAAGACTTAATATTGTGAAGATCTCAATACTACCCAAAGCAATCTAGATTCAGTGCAATCCCAATCAAAATCCCAATAGCCTTCTATACAGAAATAGAAAAACCAATCCTCAATTTTACATGGAAAGGCAAAAGGCCTCAAATAGCTAAAGCAACACTGAAAGAGAACAAAATAGGATTCACACTTCATGATTTTAAAAGAAACTATATAACTACATTACTCAAAACAGCCCGGTACCAATACAGCAACAGACA